GTTCTTTATTGCCAAAAACGAACCAGTCCGATAGTAGCTAGTTCCGCACCAGTCCAAAAGCAGTGAAATGTGGTACTTTCACTAAACTATTCTATTTTAAATTTTAAAAGCAGGGAAGGTAATCATTATGAGTAAAATAATTTAAACAGCATTTCATAATTATTTTATGAATTATTATTGAGTTTTATTTTTTCGTTTAAACGGAAATAATTATTATTTGATTTTTATTTTTGGGATTACAAATAATGATTAAGTTATGATTTTTATTTTTTCGCGCAGAGATTATCATTAATTTTCAGTTTTATTTTTCCACTTAAAAATAATGATAATTTATAAAACTGAAAAGGCCATAAAGACGCAGCCTACTGAAATTTGTACCTGAAAAGTTTGGGTCTTATTCCTTTTATAAGGGTGCGGCTACTTCTCAAAAGGATATGTCGGTTATCACGCTGGTATAGTTTTTGAAATGATTAATAATCATTATACTTAGTGATTCCATAAACAAAGGCCAAGATCCTGAAAGACAATTGAGAAAGGCAATGCAGTTGCAGAAAAAGAGGCATTTAAAAAAAAGTGTCAAAATAATTACCACTTTCTCACTAAATTTATTTAAAAATGCAAGCCACCAGAGCTTCCTTTTTTTTAAGAAAAGACAAATTAAGTTGTTTTATGCAATCCACTACAGCTACGTTAATACAGTCAGCCAATAAAGTTTAGGTACAACGAATTTTTTACAATACGGGCAACTATTTTTTTAATATTTTAGTTTTCGGTAATTTTATATAAAATAATAATAATAATTTTATATAAATAATAAAATTCTACAACAAAATCCCCAAAAATCAGAGTCCCAAACCTTGTGCAAAATTTAAGAAAATTCTGCAAAATTCCATTAAAATAATTCACTTTCTATTTACGCTCTCTAGAAAAAGTTTTTTAGTCCATTCAATTTTAGTATAATGAAGTGCAAGTGTGAGGAAGCTGGGACTTACTAAACAAACAAAAAATTGCTAAATATCAATGGTAAGTCCTAGCTACCTCAAACTTGCACTTTGTTATACTAAAATTGAATGGGCTAATAACTGAGTACTTAACTTTTTTCTAAAGAGTGTAAATTGCAATACTTGGATGTAAATTCGCAGTTTTCTTTAATTATGCATAAGGTTTGGAACTCTGATTTTTGGGGTTTTTGGTGTAGAATTAACCATATTTTTATAAAAAATTAGGGAAAATAAATTATTTAAAAAATAGTTGTCGGTATTTTAAAAACTTCACTGTACCTAAACTTTATTGACTGACTGTATATCTTATTTAAGTTAAGTACGAAAAAAACTTTGGAAGTACTTCATATACATATAAGCTTAAAAAGAACTGAATTTACTTAAAAATCAATATGCTTAAATTTAGACAAGTAAGACAAAGTGAACTAATATTTTTACTTTTAAGCAGAACTTTTTTTTTTTTACTTACTACTTAAGTTTAATACTACTACTACTACTAATGTGGTTTATAAATTTTTAATAAATGCGTTTAAATATTTGTGATTGTATTGTCCTTCCTTCAACCGATCGTATTTAATTTAGAAGGGAAATGTTTCGACAAGCCTGATTAGAAATGTAGATCTAAGGTGACGAATTTATAACAGGTTGGGAAGTATAAAAAATGGATGCAGATCGAACTAGATCTCATCTGTCGAATTTGGACCTGGTTCGGAACTATAGAAAAAGGGATGCAAAACGAACTAGATCTTATCTGTCGAATTTAGAACTGGTTCGGAACTAGAGCCAAAGGGATGCAACGGGGGACAATTGACACTTCCTAGGACATCGCAATGTTAAATTCGCCAGTCGCTAGCATGCAAAAGAGAATTAACGCGTACTAGTCATGGTTCCAAACGCACTAGAACCGAACCAGTTCCGCACTAGTTCGTTTTCCTACATGGTACATACATAGCTAACACCTAGTTCACCACTAGTTGAATGCTTGCTTGTACTTATGTATGTACTTACATACATATGTACATGTAGCTAAATGAAAGAAAGTCAGCTTGTGTTTGTTTTCGTGTGTTGTTTTTTGGTGTTCCTTCTTGCTTACCAAAAGTTGTTGCTGCTGCACTATCGACTCTTAAGTAATCCTTGTCCATTTTAAATCATCTCTAATCCTTGATGGAGTGATATGCACTAATTTGGCATTTTTATTTCATTGCGCAAACATAGAGCCAATGAATGGTGTTCATCTTGTGTACGTGTGTATGTGTGCATGCCGGTAGTAGTTGGTCCACTTGGCTGCCATCTACCTTGTTATATACCTAGTACATTAGTAACTCTTCGTACTCCCATATTGCGAATGGCTGTGGTTTTTATGCTTTCGCTACGACATGGCAGGTGAAGTAAGATTGCCACATTCACAACCATTCGATTTGGGTGACCTCTGCTTTAGTTCACTTACTACATATGTAGGTGTTTTCGTTTTGCTGCCACTGCATTTGTGCTTGGCTTGTTATTTAACCTCTCTTAAAATTGACACTTTTCTTTCCTGGGCAAACATGCATACATACATATGTACATACATAGGTGCAAATGTTTTTGGTGGTTCTGTGACCTGGCTTAATATGAATTGGTCAGCTTGGTCATTTAACCTTTTCTCCTTTTTTTTGTTTTTTTATTTCTTAAATTTTTATTGAGAAGATTTTTCAAGTATGCTTTGCTAGTAGTTAGTAGAATTCATTGCAAGCGTGGCGAAGGTTTATGAATTTTATTCTTAAAACAAAAATGTTATTCTGGAAGGAAAATGGCACACTTTTCTAAAATATCTAGCTAACATTTCACGATCAATGATTTGAAATGTATCATTGACCAGTCTAAATAAGAAGAACTCATGAGTTTAGATAGATGCCTGTGAAGTTGGCATACGGTTTGACGCAAAAAGAAAAAAAGAAAAGTTCTGAGTAGCTTTTCAACAGTTCCAGGGTTGACATTTATTTTATCTAAAAATTTTAATTTTTCGATTTTTTTCGTTTTAGGAACTCTAAAACTATTGAAAAGCCACTCTCAATATTCTTAATTTAAATTTTTTCAAAAATTCAAGTTTTTCGAATTAAAAAAAAAATGGTTTACTCAAGAACTCTAGGTCTTTTGGATTTGGACTTTTTTTTCAAAAATTTATCTTTTTTGAAGAAAAAATTTTTCGGCGTAATTTTGCAGAACTTTTTTGTTCCTTTAAAGTAACTTTAGAACTATTAAAAAGTTACTCAGAACAGTAATAATTTGTTTCAACTATTTAGCTTTTTCGACATTTTTGAAAAATAAAAATTCGACGTAATTTTGCAGAAGTTTTTTTCCGTATACTGCGTGATCTAGTATACAACATTTTTGAAAAATTATTTTTTTTTGTCAAAATATCCAGAAGCTTTTCATCTTTTTCAAGAACCCTAGAACTATTGAAAAGTTAACCTTCTGTATGAGCCAGAAAAACTTTTTTTTTAATCTTTGTAAATATCTCAAAAACATGCAGCTTTCCTGAATAGTGAATAAAAGATAGCAAACTTAATTAACCTTCATTTAAAATATTAAATGTTTTGATAAGTATACGGCTCCTTTAAATATTATATATTTGTTTGATCGACCTTTGTTTCTTTTATCAAAAACCGTTATATCTCGAAAATACACTCGAAAACTACACTTAGAAAAAAAATTATTTTTTGAATTATCAGTTCCCACTTTATAACAAAACACTAAAGATGTCTCAGCACCAAAAACTTTTTCTAAAATTGTTGTCTTTGTTATAAATATTTAGAGTGTTTCGATATACTGAAAATGATAAAGGTCTGGTTGATATAACCTATAGCTTTCATGCAACTGATTGTTAAGATATGAGGTTTTACTCTAAAACTCCTTCATTTAGACCATGTTATTTCGTGAGCCTTTTACTAATTGATCACGCACAGTTCTACTTAGAAGATCGTCCCCTATACGGTATATCTCCCACTCCACAGATTGTTCAGATATAAGGTTTTGCGATATAACTCCATCAAAAAGCATGAAATTGTGCAACCTGTTTAGTTATCGATTGTACAAGGTCTGAATGCTCAGAATTAAATCGATTAAGCCATGACTGTCTGTCCGCTTATCTGTGATCCGATCTTTATTTTTTTCGCTATAAGCTTTCGGGCGATAAACAATGAAAATAGTGCGAAATTTTTTGTACTTAGCTGCATAAATAGAGGAGTTATAAGAAAATATATCATGTCCGAACAATCAGTTGTGTTTGAGCTATATGTTATAGTGGTCCGATTTTTCCGGTACCGACAAATGATTAATACATTATCATAATGCACTCCTTACAAAATTTCAGCGGGATATCTTGAAAACTGAGCGACTAGATTGCATTCAAACACGGGCATGGCTAAATCCGCTCAGCTCGACGTTCTGACCATATAAGTACACATCCTAGTACTTACAAACATCGGACCAAATACCATTGCATGCTCATGAAAGGTGTAAACACAAATATACATATACCGTTAACTAAATGTTAAAAGCTGCCAAGTCCACTTTTTTCGAAATTTAGTACATAGATTTTTCATCTCTCCTGAATAATTAAAAAAAAATGGACTTGGCACCTTTTGACGTTTAGATAACGGCATATGTATGCATATATGTATTATTTGACCATTCAAAAATATTTAATGTCAATTAAATTTATTTAGCTCTTTTGTGACAAATTTTACCTTCGTAATCTTGCAAATACAGTTAAAGGATTAAACGAGCCTAGGAGTATATTATCTGCAACAGACCATTGTTTGAGTAATTTTTCTGTATATATGTTTATGTTAGTAATTTAGTAAAAATTAAATTTATTTTGATAGATATTTATTTAGTAAAGATGAAACTGTTATTTAAATACTGACTATTTATGACACTATAAAGTTATGCATAAGGAAAATATTTCATAAACTTTATAATTACTCAACGCATGTTTTCGTTTGATTTTGCTTGCAGGTGAGCGTTTTGTGCCCGAAACATTTGAGACTGGCTACAAAATAACGATGCGATTAACCATAAACGATGTTGACACACTGGATTTCGGTTCATATCGTTGTGTGGCAAAGAATTCGCTTGGCGATACAGATGGCACAATTAAACTCTATCGTAAGTGAACTATGAATGTCTCATAAACTAACTAATGTGCCTACCTACATATAGTATGTACATTAGGGTGCTTTTTTTTGGTGGAAAACACCTAAAAAACTCCCTAAAAATAAAATTTCCTACCAAAATATTTTATAAAACTAAATCGCTAATATCGATATTACCTGTAGACATAGGGCTTAATCAACAATTTCTACAATTTAGCTCAATAATCAATGAAAATTCCAGACTACCTCAATTTCAAAGCCCAATATCTGGAGATATATCGATGCAAGTGATTTGGAGTTTTAGAACTTTTTTGTAGGAAATTGAATGTCCTACAAGTCTGTCATTAGGAATTTTTCTGTAGCTCATGTTGTTACGGGAATTTAGTTAAAATATTGGGTTTGGTGACCCGTACTAGCTCGCTGGTGGGAGCTAGAGTTACGCCGCAATGGACACTTTTGTAGAGCCTTCCATTCTGAATAAAATCCGTTATTTATCATAACTATACCATAAAATTCCTCTGAGCTGTAGAGTTTTGAAAAGTTTACATGTATTTTATATGGGACGCCTTGGGCAAGTACTTAATGTTAATATTAAGAGCTAACATTTTCAGGGAGATTTTAGGTGTTTTCCACAAAATTTTGAGGTAGGAGTGAAAAAAACAATAGTCGCAAAAAAATAAGCACCCTAATGTACATATGCGCATATCTGTGTAAACACCTAAAGACACGCACAAAACTGATGAAGAACAAATGAGATCTAGGGTATTTTAAAAAAGGAAAAGTGCTGGTTCATATGGATATATTAAAATATATATGTATGTACATTCATTTGTGTACATTTGTATATAAAATAGAAAACCAGCAATTTGTGTTGAGTGACCGTCTGCATATGGTGTGGTGTGGGGTAAACTTAGCTATATATCTACATATGTTGTATTGCGGTAGATTGTAGGTACTGTGCTGTGCATGTTATGCCAATGGACTTCTTTGGGTTTTTACTAAATTAGGTCAATTCAAAAATTGTGGGCATTATGTGGCATTCGGTTAGAAGTCAATATTTGGTGTGCATTTTTGTGAATGAAAAGATAAGAAAAACATTTATGGGACAACATTTAATTAATTTATACAAGCCAATAAGAGTTGCTGCAGCACACTTGATAAGCAGCAAATGAAAAGGCGTCGTCTTTTGTGACTGTAGTGGCTACAACATTTGATAAATTAAATTTAACAAAAACACTTTATTCTCTCTTTTACTGCATAAATTTGTAAATAGTAAGCTGAAGCTTAGCTAGTCTAGACTTAATTTACGTAGCTTAACATAACTTTATATTTCGGCCAACATGTTATATGAGGGACTGTGTTGGCTGTTAATTAAAATTTAACCTACCCCAAGAAAGTTAACAACCTGTAGTTTTGAGAATCTTAAGTAACGGCCTTACGGAAATTTAGACCCTTGGGATAATCAAGCTTGCCAGACTTTTATTTTTGTATTTCTTAAAAACATATGAACGCCAACATCAATGTTTTCGTGAAATTTTTTGATATGGCGTTCTAGGCCGCGAACTGTCAAACAGCTGAAAAAGAAAATACAAAAACAAAATATTTTCGCTTCTGGCTTAAGTTGACTTGTTTACTCATCTTTGACTATTTCTTAAGGAAAGTTAAATTAAGTTGACAGGGCAATTATGGAAAAGATAGTAAAAACTTTCGTAGCACAAAAGTGTTAGAAAAAAAGCTCTCTCAATCACCACTCTTGGTGAAAGTCTATTTTGGGAGAAATCACTTATATGTCATTTAGCTCACGTCGCTCCAACGTCGTATCTCAGTCAGTGGAATTTATTTTAATTTTTTTTTTCTTTTTTATTTTTAAGATTTAATTTTTTTAAAAGAATATATTTTTTAATTTCATTTAATTTTAAAGAACTTATTTTATTTTTTTATTTAGATTTTTATTTATTTTTTTAATCTCATTTTCTTTTAATTATGTATTAAATTTTTAGAAGCCTTTATTTGATGTATTGGTTTTTCCGTTAATTTTACTTACTTTTAATTTTTAGATTATATTTGTTTTTTTAAGAAAAATATGTTTATATTTAATATATCTTTATGATCTCATCTTCGTTTTTTTTTCTCAATTAATTTTCTTTTAATTTTTGGATGCCTTAAAAATAAAAATTCTTTTAAATTTTTCTTAACTTTCAAGTATTATTTCTTCTTCTTTTATTATACTTTTTTCTCATTAAATTTTTGGTTTTATTGTTTTAAAAGGAAAAAAAAATTAAATTTAATTTAATTTGTTAAAGACTTATTAATGTTGCTTTATTTTCATTTCATTTTTTATTTAGTTTTTTAACTTCCTATTGTTTTCAAAAGAAAGCTATATACAACTTTTAATTTAATTAAATTTTTTAAACTTAAAAAAACTTATTTCCAAAAGCCCAATAGCATAACGCTAATGCCCCCTCGCTAGCATATCTTGCAAATAATCTTTCGAAAGACAGTAAAGAGCTTACTGGCGCTGTAACCGCCTAAGCGATTTTGGCCGAGTTTAACAAAGCACGCCACTTGTTTCTCTTCTGTGCCAACTGATGCCAGTTGAAAATACAAAGTGAAGCCAAGTTCTTCTCCACTTACAAGGAGGCATCCCCCTTCCACTAGCGGGTTCCGAGTTGAGTACTTTCAGAGCTGGATAGTCGGAGTCCATCCGAACGAGATGGCCAAGCCAGCGGAGCTACTGTATTTTAATTCGCTGCACAATTGTTGTAAAGGTCATACAGCTCATCGTTCCATCGTCTGCGGCACTCGCCGTCGCCAATGCGTAAAGATCCGTAAATCTTCCGCAAAATCTTTATCTCGAATACTCCAAGAGCCACCTCATCGGATGTTGTCATTGTCCATGCTTCTGCACCATATACAAGCACGGGCATGATGAGTGACTTATAGAGTGTGGTTTTCGTGCGTCGAGAGAGGACTTTACTTCTGAAGTATCTACTCAATCTAAAGAAGCACTTGTTGGCAAGAGTGATTCTGCGTTGGATTTCCATGCTGACATTATTATCGGTAATTATGCTGGTTCCCAAGTAAACTAAAATCTCTACTTTCTTGAAATTATAACTATAAACAATGACGTAGGTGCCAAGGCCCAAATGTGCTGACACTTTGTTTGGTGACAGGAGATACTTCGTCTTGTCCTCGTTTACCACCAGACCAGATGCCTTTTAGTGCTGTCAAAAGCGGCTTGGAACTCGCTCTTTTCCATGGTTTAGCGTACTGGAAATACCTGGTCTACGGTCGATTTGCCGGCCTTAAAGCCACCCTGATGAAGCCGAATCAGTCCGTTGTTGCTTGCTTCAGTCTTTCACACAATAGATACTCTCGATAAGAACTTGCATCAGCTGTAAAAGAGGACCATTGCTATTTGCTCAATAAAAATACCTCAGCGTCAAAAATAAACATACCCAGCAATGTTGCGTGAAAAAATTCATTCAACGGGCACTCAATTAAGCACTAATAGAGCAATTGAGAATTGAAATTTCGTAAGGTAAATCTATTTCAATTAGCGTCTTAATTGAGAAAGCTCGATAAGCTAAAGGGGTTATTTTTTGAACTTTTCCAATTATTACCATCTAAACCCTTACTATTTAGATAGAGAGATGTTTTTTTCTAAAAAGAGAGCATGGAAACTAACTCGACTAAGACAGCCATCTGAGTAGAGAGCGTGTCAGTCGTGGCAATATTTAAATCCTGTCCACGTAATTCGCTGTCAAATTGTGAAAGGGAAATTTTATTTCCACTTGTGAACAGCCAGGAAGACCTTTCTGTCTCATTTAGGAAATACTAAGTTTACGTTGCATGGTAGACTGCAATTAAAAAAGTGCAAATCGATTTCGAAAATATATTTGAACTTGCTGGCGCATCACCAGCGATTTTTATTTTTGCTGCAAGCGGAGTTAACCATTCCAGCGAATTATCGAGAAATAATGAAAATTTATTTTTTACAAAAACTAATTATTTTTCGGAATTGAATTGTCTTATTATTTATTCGAAAACTACTGGACAGATTTTGATGAAATTTTTACAGTTTGTTAAAACGTATGTGGACCATGTTTACGTTATGTTTGTGTGCTCATATAATACCCCATATAAGAAAAAACAACAGCAACTACAACTTCCACATATAAGAAAAGACAACAAATAGAAGCTTCATATGTGAGAAAAGGCAACAACAATTAAAATTTCACATATATAAAAAAAACAACAAAAGTTTTGAACAAATAAAATAATTCTTTTTCTGATTCTTTAGCTATTTGCTCAGGATGAATTTTGAAATATGTATTTCACTTTGGATATCAGGTTACAATTCGGATATGTGGTCTAAAGGAGCTTCATGGAAAATACTTTTGAAGAGGGTTGCCACATGTTTCAAAACTTTAATTCGTTTAAATTGGTAAGATGACTACCATAGTACTACAATATGGTTATCAAATTAAAGCGGCATAAGAAAGCTTAATTTTCTAAAACTTTTTTAAGAGTGTTGTCATCTGTTTGTAAAATTGAATTAACTTAAATTGATAAGGTAAACGAAATGGTAAAAATTTTTTTAATTAAATTTTTAAATTAATTTTTTAATTTAAGTTTAAATTTTTTAAGAGTGCTGCCATCTGTTTGTAAAATTTAATTAACTTAAACTGATAAGGTAAATGACATATTGCATTAATGGTATCAAAATAAAGTGATTTAAGAAAGCTTAGTTTGGAAAATATTTTGAAATAGGGTTGCCACCTGTTTGGAAAATTTAATTGATAGGATATATTAAAAATTACAGTTTTGGTATCAAACGAATAGTATTTAATAGATTTTCGGCATAGAAACAATTTTCATGTTCATTATCACCAATCTAAAAATTTAAGATTACAAATTTAAAAATAAATAAAATATTTCGAGATGGGCACCATGCGAAAGGTGTTTCAAACAGCTTTAGTAGAATGAAAATAAAATTCACAAGCTCTGTGA